AGCCCTGGCCCATCACAGCAGGAGGATAGGTCAGAGGTAGCAGCTGCAAAGGGAAGGACCACTAATTTACATAAGGCAGGCAGCTAAAACTCTCAGTGAGATTTCCTACTGGCAAACTCCTCCTGCGTCTCGTCTTCACCTTAAACCAGGAGAGCAGGTCTGGGTTCCCCGTCTCTGCAGAGCTTCTTACCAGTTGTACAGTCCTGAGATCACTCAGTCTCTGCCCCAGTTCCCTCTTTTGTGAGATGCGATTAATAATACCTGCTCTGTGGGGCTGGTGCCTTGATTTAATGAGATGGAGTGTGTTGGCTTCACATACTATACAGCAAAATAAAATATTTATTGGATCACTCATAGCTTTGAAAGAGGAAGTTGCATTTCAGCATGTTTAAGTCAAGAAGACTGGATTTGGTACTGCCCAGAAATACTCTTTTTAAATTTTAATTCTAATTTTGTGAGAGAGGGTCTCCCTAGGTGGTTCAGGCTGGCCTTGTACTCACTGTGTAGCCCAGGTTGGCCTTGAAATTTCAGCCATTCTCCTGCCTCACCCTCTGGGCCTTTTTTTTTTTCAGTCTTGCTAATTGCCTAGGTCTACTCTCTGTTCTCCTTCCTCACCTTCCTGAGAAGCTGGGATTATAGGATTATAGCACCATCCTTGCCCACCATCCTTGCCCGGGAATTGCTATGGGACTGAATTGAATACAGGCAATTGTCTTCTTCATTCTGCCTTAGTTTTCAAAACGTTTAACTGTCTATAGCATCTCAGGTCACTGGCTAAGCAGAGTTCCAAGTTCAAGTGCTTACCGCTCTCCCCCCCCCACTCCATAGGAGCAGCCTGGGTTCCAAGAGACAGTGGAAATGTGCTGCCATCTGGTGGCCACTGCTAAGCATAATGCCCTAGTTCAAATTGATGCTACTTCCCAAGACTGAGCTAGTTGCCTAGAACCCCAAACAACATTAGAATGAACTAAACCGCCCTCTACTTGGGCCTGGAGGCCTCTAACACTTAGTGTGGTGGGTGGGGTGGGTAGGGTGCAGGTAACTGGCGCAGTTCCCCTTCCTTGGGCAAGATTTATTGTAACTCATGGGGAAGGGACGTTGACTGGGTCATCCAGGCCTTGCCTCTCCCACCCTCCCTGAGCTTCCGTGTACTCAGACTTGAGGCCTTCTGAGTTCCAGCAGGAGTGGCGTAAGTGGCTGGACTCAGGGAAAGAAGACCCAGGGGACACTGGTTCCAGATCAGCCCTGGGAGGAAGCTGTCTGGAGGGCCTCTAACCCCTTCCCTCTGGCCCGACCGAGAGGCAGTGACAGGAAGTTGGCAAGGGAGAGGGGGTAAGAGCCAGCTCCTTCCGTGGGTGATTTTGAACACCGATCCTTTCTAAGCCTCTGCTGTTGGCTAACAAACATAAAGCTCTTTAAAAATACAAAGGTTTGGGGAAGTGGGGATAGGGCCAAGAGGAAGTGAGCAAACTGATTTTCTGTGAGTCTGCAGACAGTTACCGAGTCAGGGAGCAAGCCCTGGGCAGTAGCCATCACCTTCTGCCTGCCTGACATTTTGTCTCAATAGCTGCCTGGGCCAGTTCTAGACTCCAGAGGTCCTTTCCCTTGGCTCCTGCTAACACTGCACCTTGCTGTTATTGGAGGCTGGCAACTGAAGTTTTCTAGCCTTTTCTGAGAAGTTGCAAAAGATCCAATGAATTGTCCCTCTGACTAGCCTCTCACGATGTTAAGCATGACACTGAGGGTGAGGTTGCTGTCTTGTGGTTGGCTCTGCCCAGTTTCATCAGCTCCAATGAGCGCTAGGCAGGTTTGAGACAGGCAAGACCTATGCTCAGGATTCCAGTCACTTTTCCTGTGATTCAAGCCGATGAATCCTTCCAGATTCTTCTCTCTGCACAGTAACCTCAGCAATGGGCCAGACCCCACTTTCTCTCAGCTGGGCTTGACTTCTCATGAGAAGAACTGAAGATAGCACTCTCTAGTTGGTTCCAGGTGCACAGCTTCAAGAATTGTTTTTCTGTGTGTGCCCTGGATTTCTATAACAAGTCATGCCCACTTGCCCAGCCAGTTTTCCATGCCCTAATCTCCTGCCTCAGTAGACCCAAATGGGAAATGACTAAGAAAACCTTTCCTTTTACCCCTTAAACCACCCTTAGAGCAGTGCTGGGCTCTGTCTATTCAGAAAATCTGAAGGAAAGGCTTCCCTTGTTCACAGAAAAGAACATCACCAGATAGATACAGACACTTCTGAAAATATGATTCCCAGGTGGGAAGAGGTGGCTCTGTTGGTAGCCCCAGTGCTTCCCCTGCTCCTCCTCTCTCCAGTGGGTTATTCTCCCAGGGGACTGTATCATGTGTTGGAAACAGAGCTCTATACTTGGTTTCTGTAATGGAAAATCAACAGGAAAAGGATCTGAAAATACGAACTGCCCAGGTTTCTGGATCCACCCATCAGGTAAATTCCTAATGAGGCTGGCCCATTTCTGGTGGGGCTGGAGCCACCACTTGGGTATTGTTGTTTCTGCTTCTGCCATTCTTTTCCTGCCCTCAGTTTCTTGGTCATGACTGCATATGGGCCACCATCTTTTTCCTTCTTAGTGTAAGGGCTACCCATTGCTTGACTGTCACTTCAGCCCTGTCATCAGGCAAGTTCATCCTTACTGGACCCCACAGGTTGGGCTATAAGCTAGCTCTGGAGATGCCATCTCCCTCCAGGAAACTGTCCTTTAATTGTACAAGTACAACACCTAAGCAGCATGACTCACCCTTACTAGAAAAGGTCTTTGTCTCACATAAGGTTATTTGGTGCTCTTTGATGTTTGGGAGAAAAATAGAGAATTTTTATGATGATTAACTATCTTCCAGATTTCTATATGATAAGAAAGGCTTTTTATTTTTTTCATGCAGCTTGATAGAATTTCCTCTTAGTAACTTCCTCTTTCGAAGCCGAGTTGAAGAAAGCAATGGTGGCAGAAATATGTATGAGAGGCCACAGAGGAGGTGGACAGAGTTTTTCAAGTCCAAGTGTACATAGCAGCCACTAGAGAATGCTAGAACAATGGAAATACAGTTAGAGAAGGTTCCCTCTTGTACATTCTTACCTGTACTACAGGTTGAACCCAAGGCCTATTGCACTAAACTAGTCTCCTTTAATTTTTTTTTTTTTTGTAATTTTGGAAACCCTACTCACTAAGTTGCTAAATTGCTCAAGATTTTCTTGAACTTGTGATATTCTTGCTTCAGCTTGCTGGACAGCTGAGATCACAGGTATCCGCCACCGCACTGGGCTGAGGGCTGCCCCTTCATATCTGAGGGGTTTGCTTTGGGAGAAGTGACGTGTGGGGGACATACGAGTGCTACATCGGTCAGACTTGGGAAACAGCAGGGGGCAGCGGGTCAGGTGGAAGCAGAATGAAGAGGGACCCTGACAGCACCATGTGCCCCAGTGTCTCTCTTAATGCCCCACTGCAATTGTCGACTCGAAAATGCTGGAACAGCACTGTTGTTATTGCTGAATTTTATTTTTGACTTTTTTGAATTTTATTTTACACACACACACACACACACACACACACACACGCAAAGTAAAAGTTATAAACCCTTCAGTATACTCTGTGGGCTTAGTCCAAGTGTTCCTTCTTGCTGTCTCTAACATGCCCTTGTTAAATAATTTCTGTGGGCAGCACCGAGAAGCACCTGAACCAAATAATTTCATTCAAGTGTCTGGCTTCCAGAAGCTGGTGACCAAAAAGCAGCTTCAGTGAGGCGGTCTGATCCCCAGACAGATGTGTGTTCTTGTGAAGCGGGTGTGGGGAGCTGGAGGGCCAGGATATGTTGTACCATTATGTATGTACATTGTGTTTCTTCTCCTTTCTGCGTGAATGATCATCCTGCTGTCGTCCTCTTCCTCAGATAGGTTTGACACAGACCTGCTGCTAGAGTGAGGGCCTGTGAGACTTTGCTGGGGCTGTGGGCTGAGAAGAGGAGATGGAGGCTCTTCAAGGTGGTGCTGAGTTTTGCTCTCCAAGCAAGAAATCTTTTCTGGTCCCTTTGATAAAGGATCTTTGACACAAAGGCTAGGTACCAGCTGTGTTCAGCAAGGAGTCTGCACCTTTTGCTGAGTACTTGCCATTATGCACTAAGAAGGAACAATTTCTCGCTAAGGTTAGGGGCTGCTACCAAAGTCTAATTCTTGTTCCTTGGCTTCTCCTGTTTGTCTTCTTATCGTAGGATCTTTCTGCTAAGCAAGCCAAAAATAGGCATTTGTTTATTTTATTTTGAGACAAAGTCACTGTGTAATCTAGGCTGGCCTTGAACTCACTAGGTTGCGCAGGCTGGCTTCAAACTCCTGGCCATCTCCTGCTTTAGCCTCCCAAGTGCTGGGATTACAGATGTGTATCACTGCATCTGGTGAAAGCACAAATATTGTGTAGTCCTTACTTGGGGCTGCTCTTCCTACCCAGCCCTACACCCTTATATTGTCCCTGAATGAAGTAATGTAATCTCCTCTTGAGCCTTCTCTGTGCCATTCACGCCTCCGTCCTCTGTCCTTTCCATCTTCTGGCCCTGCGTTCCTGGCTGTCTACTTCCTCGTGGCCTATCTCACTTCCTGAAAGACCTGAAAAGTGTTGCTTATCTTGATGGAGTTCAACAAAGTCCTCTGGGGGTAGGGGAAGGGAGAGGCCTTGAGTGTATTTGTCTTAGGAACTAAGAGCAGCAGCGCTTTCAGATTCAGCCCATTCTGAACTGTCCTTCAGGTTTCTGAGAGGCCAGGGGTGTGTGGCCCGCAAAAGGACTAGAAGTGATTGCCCTGGGATGGGCCCTTCCTAAGGAGAGAGGGGTCTCCAAGAGATCACACCAGAAATAAGGAAAAGGAGTGAGTGAATTGGGAACTTCAGACGGTTGCTATACCTAGGAAGATATCTGGCAAGAGCTAAGACCAGTGGTCCCTACGAATTCTGCTGGCTGACTTGTCACCTGGAAGCCTCCTCTGGGACAGCATGGTAGCGAATAACACGGATATGCCATTGTGGGTTAAAATCACCTATTTCTCCATGGAGGCTCTCATTGGACTCTTTGCTGTGGTGGGCAACATGCTGGTCATCTGGGTGATCAAGTCGAACCCTAGCCTGAAGACCACCACCTTCTACTTCATTGTCTCCCTGGCCCTGGCTGACATTGCGGTTGGCATAGTAGTCATACCTGTGGCCGTTGCCATCAGCCTGAACATCTCCATGGGCTTCTACGCCTGCCTCTTCATGTGCTGTGTGCTGCTGATCTTCACACACGCCTCTATCATGTCCTTGCTGGCCATTGCTGTGGACAGATACCTGCGGGTCAAGCTCACCATCAGGTAACCTGCTTGAAGAGGGAGGGAATGCAGCCGTGAGAGAGGAGCCTAGAAAATGGGAATCCTTCCCTCTAAACAAGGTTCCTATCTCAGACTTTTTCAGTGGAAGTGAATCCGAATAGGGCCCTCAAGTTGAAAGAGGACAATAAATATTTTTTCACCATGTAATCTTTGAGGGGCTTAAAGCGGTGAACTGAGACTTAGGAATGAGAAACAGAAATGATCCCCTCTACCCTCCACTGACCACAAGCATATGTTCGGTCCCTCAGTACAGTATAGCTAAAGATGATGAAAGCTTTATGCATTGTTAGTTTTAAAAAAAATGAACTCGAGTTTAAAAATGATAGAAACCTATTAGATAAAATATATAAGATATATTATTTCACAAGAAGCAGGAAGATAAGAATAAGAGGACATCAGCAGATGGTTGTGTTGCTTCTCACATGCACGTTATTATTTTGCTTCCTGTTCTGTGCTTGACCCAAGGTAGAGAAAGATTCTTAGAATGCACCTTTTCTTTTTCTTCTTCTTGTAAGATGTACGAGTTTTTTCCTGCAGAAGTTCTCTTTTGTACGAAGTAGTGCTGACCTTTCATAGGACCGTGTGAAGAGAAGAAACTGTGAAATGTAGGAATCAAATTCCCAAGTTGTCCTAAGTTGCACTGGTCTCCTGTCTCTTCTCTCTTTTCTTGAGGAAAGTGTGTGGTGAGGAGCCATAGCCAAGCTGTAGGTGCAGACAGATCTGGGTTCAGATCCCTGATTGTGCAACCTGATCTGGGGCAGGTTATTTAACTTTCTCTATTCCAGGTCCTCATCTGCATCATGGTGGTTAAGATGATCTGAACCAGACTTACCTTCTTTCAACAGCACTTCTAGTTTGTATAGGTTACCTGTCTGTGTCTCATTTTTTTCTTATAAAATGAGGATAATAATTGTACTTTCCTCATGAGATTAAATGAGTGAACACATACAAAGTTCTTAGAAGAAATGCCTTCTACGCAGTCTATGACTGATAGCTATAATTACTATTATTTTCACCATTGCCATGAATCGAATGGAAATCATTATAAAATATCTTATTGTGAGATTTAATTGAGACCACGTCTAATAGTAGTTAGCAATATTAGTTTCCTTCTTGCAGTCTGTCTGGGTTGTATTTAGGAAGCATGCTTTCAGGGGAAATGGTGACTTTCCCGGGATGAGCCTTTTCAGGGCTCTGAAGCAGTTCGGTCCAGCTTCAAAAATCAATTGATTCATCTAACTCAGACCCCAAGTGTGGACACCCATGCACATGGAGACACAGGAGCAGGCACAGATAGCAGAGTAGCCTGGGGATGGTGTAGTAAAAGGCACAGTAGCCAAATGAAACAGCAGAGAACACAGCAGGCAGGCATGCTTTCAGGAGATTCTTTCTCATCAGGCAGGTGATCCCCGGGGACTCAGTTAAATCTCACATCATAGGGATGAAAAAAGTCTTGGGCTGGAAATGGACCCAGAAATGGCATGAAAGCACCTAACTTTTGCCGCATATTCCTGATCCATGGTAGATTGTTATTCTTTAGGAAAGTGCCCAGGACAGTTTCTGGATTTCTCTCATCATTGTCAGCTCATCTATCTCCTCTCTTGACAGAAGACTGGAGAACTACGCATCCAAGCTTTATCCCCCCACCCAGTCATTCCCATCTCCTGACATTTAGCGATTCTCTGAACTCACTTGCTCTTTTCCATTCAGATACAGGAGGGTCATTACTCAGAGACGAATATGGCTGGCCTTGGGCCTCTGCTGGCTGGTGTCCTTACTGGTGGGATTGACTCCCATGTTTGGCTGGAATAGGAAACTGATCTCAAAGGAACTCCAAAATGTCACTGCCTGTCCGTGTTCTTTCCGTCATATTATGAGTATGGAGTACATGGTCTTCTTCAGCTTTCTCATCTGGATCTTCATCCCCCTGCTTGTCATGTGTGCCATCTATTGGGAAATCTTCTGTGTCATCCGGAACAAACTCAGTCAGAACTTTTCTGCCTCCAAAGAGACAGGTGCATTTTATGGACGGGAGTTCAAGATGGCTAAGTCCCTCTTCCTGGTTCTCTTCTTGTTTGCTCTGTGCTGGCTGCCTTTGTCCATCATCAACTGTGCCCTCTACTTTCAAGTAAGCGTACCAGAAGATGTGCTGTTTCTGGGCATCCTCCTGTCCCATGCTAACTCCATGATGAACCCTATTATTTATGCTTGCAAAATAAAGAAGTTCAAGGAAACCTATTTTTTGATCCTGAAGGACTGTAGAGTCTGCCAGCTCTCTGATTCCTTGGACCCAACCATGGAGCGGATTTCTGAGTAATTGTCCATGACAGAAAATTCATCATCTCACTGGCCTTCAGATTCGGCATCAGTGGATACTGTGGACCTATCTGTCTGGATCCAATTGCAACCTTCAATTGCTTCCAATGCTGTGGGAGCCTTTGGCCGTTTGCCTCCAGTTACACCTTCGCTAATATCCTCGGCCTCCACTTCAATTTTTTTCTTGTTCTCCCCTAATTCCGAGGCCTGACTCGAGGACAACTTATTATTGATATTATTGAATGTGTTCCTCCTTCCCAAAAAGAATGAGAAGTCTGGGTTCTGAAGGCCGTCTCGTTGGCTTAGCAAAAAAAAAAAAAAAAAAAAGCCTCTAATTGAACTGTGATGATGACAGTTCCAACAAAGTACCTACTCTCAGAGGTTTCCTAGAAGAGGAGAACAGAAAGCAGCAAACTAGGTCTAAGGGGAGCTTAAACTGCTGAATTCACCTGTGCGTGTGTTTGAGTAAATAAAAAATGATAGCTAACTGTTGTGTAGCTCTTTGCTGAGATCACTTGGGGTTGAAAGACTCCACTTGGTCCTCTTGGCATTCAGTCTGTTTATTACCCAGAACCAGAAGCCATGCTCTCTTTTTCACGCCTTACTCCTTTTCCCTGGACGCCCTGCCTCTTGTTTCTGGGCTGATCAAAGCATTTGTCACTTTTGGGAACTACTCATCTTTTGTTGGTCATAATCATTTCCCCCGCAGTTTCATTCTAATAGAAGTACCAGTCGTGGGCGGAAGGCAAAAAAAAAAAAAAAAAAAGACCACGGAGCCAAGTGTGGTGGTGCACACCTGTAATCCCAGTACAAGTTGAGCACAGCCTGGGCCACTTAGTGAAATAGCGAGAACCTGCTTCAAAATAAAAAATGAACAGGGCTGGGGATGTAGCTCAGTGTGAAGGCTCTGGATCTGATCCCCAGTACTGGTGGTGGGAGTGGGAACAATGGACCGTTATTATTTGTGGAGCACTTTCTTTGCACTAACCGTTTTGTAGGTGTTGTCTTCTTGACAATCTATGAGATGGGTTACCGTGATTATTTTTATCTCTGGTTCACAGAAGAAAGAGCTGGTGCATAGAGAAGTTGAGTAACTTGGCTGTGGTTCACACAGTTAAAAAGTAGATTTAGGTTCAGCTCTGCCACATCGGAGAATCCAAGATTCTTGTCATCTATTCATAGACATGAAGAAGAGGCTTGCTACTTCAAAGTCCAGACTGTCAAGCTCACGATTAATAGAGGGTTCAAGCCCACATTGTGCATACTCCAGTATTGCTGAGGGTTTGCCATTAGTGCTGTTGCTGATCGCTAATTAACCAGGATACTGGAGAAAGGAAATTGTTAGTCACATCGTTTGAGTGGCTCCAGACGCTGAGTTTCTCTGGATTGGCTGCATGTGGATTCCCGTTCCTAAGTCAATGAATTAACTTGATGAAAGCAGCAAGATGTGTACTTCAACTAAACAAAGAGAATAAGGATATCTAAAATGAATTTAATGCTTAGCTATTTCTGAAAGTTTATGCTAAACCTGATCTTATGCCAGAGCCTGATAACCAAATTTATCTCATTAACATTTCATGTCAGCAAAGGGTCTGTCTTTCTCCTTTTGTTCGCCTGGGCAAAAATCAGGAATTTGAGCTTTCAGCTTCTAATTTAATTTTTGTTTTTAGTCAGTATGCAAACACATATTTCTAGCAAGAGGCCCTGGGTTTGTTCTGGGCTTCACAATTTTTAGTTTCCTAGTAATCTGCACACCGTGACTCTTAATTTATAATCTAACCCAGTTGCTATAGCAACACTTGGCTCCTATCCTGTTTTCTTAATTTGGAAACTTAAAGTGACCACTTCCCTCAAGGTAGAACAGCCATTGTTTGGTGTCATTAGTGAAGCTGTAGTTCTTGAGTTTCAGAACTGCTTTTAATTCCCCCTCCGCAACTTTCTCTTCCTTTTTACCTCTGCCACTGAGGGCTTGCAGGGAGTTGTATTTTTGTTTTGCTTTTGTCAGATGGGAATCTGCTGAGATAAAATATTTCAGCAGCCCAGAACTGGTCCTTAGAGTAGAAATGTCTTCTTGAAAGTGAACTCAAAAAAGATGAGCTCAAAATCATTAGTGAAGAGATGGCTTGAACTAACAAGATCCACTCTGGTTTCAGGTTTAGATTAGTGTCACTGGAATCTCCCCATGAACCCTTCTTCTGGTTAGCTCCCTCTTAGCCAAATGGCAAAAGGGCAGCTGTAAGCTTTTATTCTAAGGGAATAGGTAAAAACACCACCCAGATAAACCTGAGGTTTGCTTTTTTCTCCTTCTCCATGTGAAGAAGTTGGAGCAAAGGTGGATGTTGAGAACTGGTCTTATTCCCCACTGCCACATTTTTTATAATAACGCAGACCGATCTACTAAAATAAGTGAAGATCAATCTACCGAAAACAAGTGAAGGCTGTATATTCTGAGCTTGCTGTACCAAGAGACTGAGCTACCATATGGTGGACTTAGAGGCAGGCAGAGATGTGAGAATGCTTGGCAGTGGTTTTAGTAGATAAACTTAGCCACATTAAAATTTTAACAAGTTTATATGACCGTTCAAGGGTTCCTGAATTGGGCAGCCCTAGACATTAAATGTCCAGCAAGACACTGAGAGGGCAAAGTGGTGGGGAATTTTTATAACGTATTCTTGAAAGCAAGACAAAATATATTTGTAAAGTTCCTAATTAGAGGTTAATTTGGTGGTTTCTGGTTGGTTAAGCTTAAGTGTTTTACTCTTTATAATGGGTCAGGTTTCAATTTGACTATGTAGGAACTCAGGATGCTGGAGCCATTTCAGCCTAATGGCCTCCAATTAAATTTTTTGTTTGTTTTGGGGATCAAACTCAGGACATTGTGCTTGCAAGGCAGGCAGCAGCAGCACTGAACTAAATCCCTGGCCCTAATTATTATTTTTTTAGCCAAAAGCCTCCATGCTGAGCTACATCCCCAGCTCTTTAAAAAGAAAAAAAAATAATTTTGAGATAAGGTCTCATTAAGTCACTAAGTTGCCCAGGGTATACTCCAATTTTGCAAACCTTCTGCTTCAGCCTTCCAGAGTGCTGGGTTACAGCCAGTTCCGATTAATTTTTTTTAACAGAGGAAAAAGTGGGGAGAGGTTTCAGATATGTCCACATCAGAGGATGTTGGAATAGAGATGTTGTAGGATTGTATGTGATTGGTTGAGGGTCTCTATTTAGATGGTCCTCATTTGGAAGTGGGAACAAAAACTTGTTAGCCAGGTCTTGACACAAGAATTATCGTTTGGCTTCCTACTGAGATAGCAATCTGATTACAAATCCAACTGACCACAGACAGGATGGTTTACTGTTTATCATAGAGTAGTGGTTTGTTTCCTGATCAGGTTGCTGCAGATTGTGAGTCAGGATTCTGTTTTTACTCTTAGTCTGGCCATTGTCCCTGTGCATATTAAGTTTCTTAAGAACTAACTGCAAATTTTCTAGAGAAACTCTGCCTTTAGATACCATAGCTGAGACTGATGGTGTGAGAAAACTTGTGCTAAATTTTGCCCCAGCCACTCAGATGACATGGTGTATGTCTCATCGTAAACTCTGAAGTACATACAACTTCACAGCCTTATTACAATTGAACAAACAAGCAATGGAAAAATGTTTTTTAAATTGTTCTTTTGGGCTACCCCTACTCACACCTTCCCAATTTAGCATCAGATTACAGTGGCTTTTTTTTTTTTAAAGTGCTGCATGAGAGCTCTTTTTTTTTTCATTCATTAAGTTTATTGGTACATTCTTGTTGCTAATAAGAGATCAATCAATAACAAATGCTGGCAGCCTTGTGGGGAAAAACGAACCCTGCTCCACTGTTGGTAGGAATGCAGACTGGAGCAACCACTATGCAAATAAGAATGGAGATACCTCAAAAAAACTAAGATGAGAGGCCTCATTTGATCCAGCTATTCCTCTGCTGGGTATCTTCCCAAAAGAACTAAAAGCATCACACCACAGCAATATATGTTTACCCATGTTTATAGCGGCAGAATTTGTAATAGCTAAAACTTGGAAGCAACCCAAATGTCCATCAGTTGGTGACTAAATAAAGAAGATTAAAAAAAAAAAAGGAATACAGTGGCTTTAATAGCTATGTGAATGTGGGCTGCTTAAACTTTGGAGCCTCAGTTTTCCTTATTCGTAAAATAAGACTAATAGGACTCTTATCGAAGCTGTTTCTGTTTTTTCTTTTTTATGGAATATTTTAAACATAGGAAGAAAAGTGACAGGACAATGAGTCCTCATATACCTATTATCCTACTTTAATAATTATTAATTTATGGTCAAGCTTGTTTCATTGATGACCCCTCTACTTGCTCTACCCGGGTTATCTTGAGATTCTGGGCCTTAAATGATTTCATCTGTAAACATTTGGTTGTATTTATAAATGATGTTTTAAACAGTATTATTTGGTTTATTCTTAGTACCCTTCTTATTTACATATCTGAGTAGAGTGACAATTAATTCTGCCCTTAAGAGAGAGCAATGTAACTAATAATACCAAGTAATACTCAGGATGCTCATAGATATATAATTCATTCTCTGCAACAGTGACCCTCTCACATCCTTTAGAGTGTTACTTTTCCATGTTTTGGGCATTTTGCTGATACTTATCTGTTTATAGTCCATTTTTGTTTCTGATGGCATTTTCTTTGGTTTTTGTGGTACCATCTCTAAGCGATGCTGCGTGTTTGTTTTGCATGCAGCATTGACAAAGATAACTGCTTTTAACAAAATATGTTAAGACAATAATCCTTTATTATCTCTGGGGTTTCTGTAGGTCAAGAATTCAGGGGCTTCCTGGGTTACGCTCATGGTCTCTCGTAAGGTTACCTGGTTTGCAGTCATCTGAAGGCTTGATTGTGGCCAGAAGATCAACTCCAGACTCTCACAGGTTTGGAAAATTTATATTGGCAAGTTGGCGCCTTCCCACTATGCCTCTCCATAGTCTTAAGAGTTCTTACAACATGGTGGATGACTTCTCCAAGAGGGAGAAGTACAAGAGATTAAGGGGGAAATTGTAGCCTCTGAAGAGACACACCATCAATTCTGCTGTTACTTTGTTGATCACACAGGCCAGCTCTAATTTAGCTTCAGAGAGGACTAAATAAGGCATATACAGCAGACGCCATCTTAAAGGCTGGCTCTTACAATACCAATACCACATCTGAAACCCCTCTTCCTCCTCTTCCTTCTCTGCTCCTTCCCCTCCTCCTCTTTTCCCAGTACTGAAGATTGAACCCCAAGCCCTTGTACTCAGCTACATTTTTCATTTTAGACAGGTTCACACTGAGTTGTTAAATTGCATAGGCTAGACTCAAAATTATGATCCTCCTGCATCAGCTTCCCAGGGTGCTGGGATTATAGGCAGGTGCCATCATATCTGCCTAGCAATTATTTTTCAATATTATCATTTGTCTAGTCATTGTTCAAATGTTCTGAATTGTTTCCTTTGATTAGTGTCTGAACAATCAGTATGTCATTATATTGTCGCTCTTAAGTTACTTTAAGTCTTTAAATTCTTCTGTCCTTTCTTCTCCTCTTTTTTCCCACGGAATATATTTGTTGAGCTCCTACAGATTTTTGATGAGTAAATGAAATTGTGTATGTGTCTTAGTTACTTTTCTCATTGCTGAGACAAAATACCCAACATCCAAAGTTACAGGAGGAAAGGTTTATTTACTCACAGTTTCTAGGGGTTTCAGTTCATAGTCGTCTGGCTCCAAGGCAGGCGGACATGGCAGAGGGGCATCGCAGAGGAGGAACGGTTCATGGCAAGGCAGGGCAGCCGGAAGGCAGCAAAGCAGTGAAGTAGTGAAGCAGCTTCTTTCTGTCCCTTTGTATTTTATGCAGGCTACCCACATTTTCAGTGGTGCCACCCTCACCTGGGGTGGGGCACCCTTAATCCCAACACCACCACCTAATCCAGCCACCTTTGAAAACTCCCACCTATGACGATATGAGGCTTTGGGAGGACATCTAGATATAAGATATAACAGCACGTACAGGATGCAAACTTGCTGCTGGCCCATGTGGTGAATTTATGTAAGCTGAGGAAGCTTCCTCATTCTTGAGAGAGGATCAAACCACGTGAAGTGCCACATACCTGTAATCCAGCACTTAGAAGGCTGAGGCAGGAGGATCACCATAAGTTTAAGACCAGCCTGGATGACATAGGAAGCCCTGTCTGAAGAGAGAGAGAGAGAGAGAGAGAGAGAGAGAGAGAGAGAGAGAGAGAGAGAGAGAGAGAGAGAGGAGAGGGAGAGAAAGAGAGAGGGAGGATAATATTGCACAATCTAGAAAACCATCCATACTTGGCCCTTGGCTCTGGTTTGTGGTAAATGGTACCCAGATTAAATTTTAAAAATTAAAGTGATTGAATAATTCAAACTTTTAATAGTAGTGGTCAGAGCATGAGAGTCCCATTAGAATTAGCAGCTGCCACCACTAGTGCTGCTGCATGGATAGATGTCCTTAACTTGTCCCAACTCTACCTAGGAAAGCTTTCCAGAAGTCTGGGCTCTGCGGCTCTGGCTGGTGACACCCAGGCTCCTTCACTTGCACCGGCTCACATGCCACTGAAAGCTAGCAGGCACCGCCCCACCACACTCCCAAGGCGGGCTTGCAGCATCCACTTGGGAGTGAGATTGGTTAGGATAACTGTTGGAATTCCTCCTCCCTGGATTAGAGCTGGACACCAAGAGTAGTGGGGGGATAAGAGAACTGACCTCCATTACTACTAAGGCCTCTCAGGTAAGAGTGCACTGTTGCACAATGAATGAGTGTCAGTGATGATGAGGGTGGTGGTGGTGAAGTGTGTGTGTGTGTGTGTGTGTGTTCTTCTGAATGTCTACAAAGCCATGTGTGCCCGAATGGGTTTCTCTAGAAAGGGGCAGTCTACACTGCTGAGATGATCTGCTGGAATCCCAGATTTGCTCAATAGCCCCATAAATAAATTTGTGCTCATGAATGACATCCCTCTGATGAGGCACCACTGTGCAGAGTGCAACCTGGATAGCTGTACACTATACTACGGTCCTGCTTGGTATTATCAGTTGTTCCTTATTTGCACTGTTCTATCCAAACAGAATAAAGCTGTCTTCAGCTCCAATGTATCTGTTTCTCTTACACAGATCCAGGATTCCTGAGGTCCCTCGGTTTTTAAAATCATTACAGTTGAAGGCTCACTTTCTTCCAGTCATGAAGCTCTTCATTCTGCTCTCTCTGGCTTTCTTCTCAGGTAAGATATGGAGAAAGATCTTCTCTGTCCTTCAAGCTAGCCATGGCCTTCCCAGAGACCTGACATTTTCTTTTCCTCTCCTGCCTGGAACACTTATTAGTTCAAACCATCTAAGAACTTAGATGGGAAAGTAAAAGCAGGTCCCCATCAAATCTTGTTCTTACCTTTATAAGAGGCTTGTGGGAAACTTGAAATTCTTGGCTAAAACGTGGGCTGTGTATTTTCTCTTTCAGTTTATCCAAATTCCCCTTCCTCTCTCCTTTCTTTCCTTGAGTATGTTTGTGCAGATATATGAATATATGACTTTCCCCTTTTTGCCCATGCCCAACACCAAACATGAGATCAAAAGACTAGCTTTGCCCAAGCTCTGTCACCCATCAGCTCTGTCACCTTTGTTTGCTGCTCCTCTTCCAGTCACATCTGTGCCTGTAAGCTGAGGATAACAGTTCTTTCTTGTGGAGTTGTGAGGTGGACCAGAGACATCTAGGACGTGAGCCTCCTTGATGGGGTGGCTCCTTCATGTGAGGCAGTGTTCAGGGGGTTACCTGGGTGAGGATGTTCGAGTATCAGCAGCCATAGCTGTGGTCTCCAGATTTCTGAAAGGCTGCAAGGGAAGGGCTCCACTGCTTTATCTCTTCTTCTTGGCCATTTTCCCGGCATAGCCAAGCTGGACATAGCATGCAAGGCTTCCTCACTGTGCAATAGCCTGACATGAAAGGTATGGATGCTGGTGTGGTGTGGAGCAAATACTAAGTCCTTCGCTCCTGAAGACCAAACTGGAGTCTCTCAGCCTGCAGCCCTAGGCAGCCAGCAGAACATCCGTACCTTTCACTTTCTTTTTGGGCTGGGGACTTGGAGAGAGGGGATCAAAAGCAGTAAGCTTTGGGCTTTTCAAGTCTCCATGTCAAGCAATGATGAGAGTCTGCGATATTTCACACACCCTCGAGCCAGGGAGGAAGATTTCTCTGGAGTTGCTATAGTTTTCTAATGTTGCTACAACAAAATATCAGTCTGAGCATCTTAAATAATGGAATTTTACTTCTTCAGTTACAGAGGTTAAACAACCAAGATCAAAGTGTTTGCAAGTTTGACAGGCTGCCTTCTTGCTGTGTCCTCACATGATCATCCTTCTTTCCATGTTGCCTATATTTTAATCTCTTAAAAAAATGAGTGCTCTCTTCAGCAGCACATATATTAAAATTGGAACGATACAGTGAAGATTAGTATGGCCCTTGCACAAGGGAGACTCACAAATTTGTGAAGCTCTCCATATTTTTTCTCCTAAGTATTTGAGTTCAAAACTCCTGTACCTAATGAAATACAGCTGGGGTCATTAATAAAGAAACTATTTCTATATATATATAAAAAAAGACAATAGTCATATTGGATTAAGGACCACCCCGGTGGTCTGATTTTGACTTTATTGCTTCTTTAAGAGATTTGTGTCCAAATATAGTTACATTCTGAGGTATTGGGGGTTAAAATTTTAACATGAGTTTGGCGTGGGGGGCACAGTTCAACTCATAACAGTTGCTAACTCCAAAAAGGCAAAAACCAACCTCTAATTCTTGAATTAATTATCTGTCAGGAGGACAGGGACTCTAGTTTGATTGAAAGAGTAAGTGTGTGTGTGTGTGTGTGTGTGTGTGTGTGTTTTCACAGACGCCATGGTCATGGACAAAAAGGTCAAGGAAAGCTTTGTACTGGACACAGCTTCTGCCACCTGTGACTATGATGCCTATTACAAGCATCACACCAAGTATTGGTGCCGGGGATATTTCCAGAACTACTGCAACATCATCGCCTTCACCCCTAACAGCACTGACCGTGTAGTCTTGAGGGACACAGGAAACCAACTCATTGTCACTGTTTCCTGCCTGACCAAGGAGGATTCAGGCTGGTACTGGTGTGGCATTCAGCGGAACTTCGCCAGAGATGACATGGATTTTACAGAGTTGATTGTTACCAACCAAAGAGAAGCCCCAGCCAATGGTTTGTGGTCTGAGAAAGGTAACGAGGTTGTCAGGGATCCATTTGGGTAACCCATGTTAGTTGGTGCTTGTCAGTGTCATAAAAATTCACCGAAGCCAAATGAGCACAATATTAGTCACTTTTCCATAGTAGAGACAAAAATAGCTGGCACTCACACTTAGGGATGGATAGGTTTATTTTGGCTCATGGTTTCAGAGGACGAAGTCCACAGTTGGCCTGCTCCATGGCAGAAATGGCATGGTGGAAAAGCATGGTGGTATAAATCTGCTCAGTTCATGGTGGCTAGGAAACAGCAGAACAGCTCCAGAGAGGAAGGGGCAAAGGATGAGATATCGTACCTGAAATCGCCTCCATGACTCAGCCAGACATATCCAGAAGTACACTTTACTAACACCCTTGCTATTTACTAATCCTAAACCAATCAAATTGACACAACTAACCTTACCCTCACATTCTACCAATTGTCAACTTAATGCCCAAACCCATCTCATTAAACCATACTCAATCCTCAAATAAACATAACAAGTTAAAAAGTCCGCCTAACATGTTAGAACTATCCTGTGTACAACTGAGAACACAATAATCCCTTTGCTAAAGTCTCAACAGTTCTAGCACTTTTCACACATCCAAGTCAAAGTCTCTTCTGAGACTCAAGGGAAACGCTTAGCTGTGAACCTCTAAAAACCAAAAACAGGTTATATAATCCCAAGGTACAGTGGTACGTTGTAAACATTTCCATTCTAAACAGGAGGAAAAGGGTTATAGAAGAGAATTGGCCAAAGCAAGGCCAAACACTAGCTCTGTAGCTCCATACCAGGTATCTGGGGCACATCATGATTAAATGTGAGTTCCAGAGGGCTGTAGTGGCCCCACTCTTACGGCCTTGCTAGTTACATCTCATATGGCCTCTCTCTTAGGATGGCTCCTCTCTCTGCCGGTGACTTTCCTCAACAGCAGTTCCACATTCTTGGCATCTCTGACTTCTGGGATCTCTATTGCACCTTTGGCTTCATTTTCACAGCTTCATGCACTCACTTGTCAGGGGTCTTTGCCTGGCCTCTTAGGCTTTCCTTTGAAATCTGGGTGGAAGCCTTTTTCACCACACAACTCTTATTCTGTATGATGGTTAAACCAGCATCACGTGGATGATGCCAAAGTCTACTGTCAGTGGGAGCAGTAGCTAGGTCCCCTTTGACCATGGCTGCAGTATCCTTTAAATACCTGTGCAGCTGAGCACAGTGAAATTAATCCCTGAGAACCTATTCCTTATGAGGGCTTTCTTAGCAGAGGATCCAGGGCCTCTCTTCTCAGAGGAAAGGTGTAATATTTGCACCCTTGAGCCTGAGATGATTGGGCTATTTCTGATTTCTGAGATGTCCTCAAGGTATCTTTATTGGTGCTCCTATGCCAAAACTTTGTTTTCTTTTTAATGGCACCAATCTCTTCAGCAACAACCCTTCCTTTGGCCCCAATTTTACACATTTAATTTTGGACCAAAATTTAAGTTTTTCAAATTTTTCTGTTTTAGTCCTTGTCCCCAGTTCTCAAAATAAACCAGGCCAAAAGTAGCCAGCAGTACCCATGCCACAACTTGAATGTTGAGCTGAATTGAAATTTCCTCTGCCAGACCAATTGATTCACCTCCCTTAATTTCAGCTTCTCAGAGTCTCAGGACATAGGCAAAATGTCAATTTTTTTTTTTTTTCTGGAAGACAACATTGTGGTCTCTATTTTAATTGCCATTGAAGTCCTTGTTTCCAGCTAAGAACTTCCAGAGTCTGCCTTTACTGTCCATGTTCCTATCAGCATTTTGATCTTCTGAGTTCTGACCAGAATCACCATTCAGGCTATTCTTATAGCATTCTGGGGCTTCTCTAGTTGACATCTCCGAACCTTTCCAAACTCCTTCTATGAATCAGTTTCAAAGGTTCTGAATCATGTTATCAATTATAGTCACAGAAACAACCCCATTTCTGGTACCAGATTTCTGAATTAGTCACTTTCCTGTTGCTGGAACAAAATACCGAAGTCACACTTAGAGGAAGATAGGCTTATTTTGGCTCATGATTTCAGAGGATCAAGTCCACGGTTGGTCGGCTCTAAGGCAGAAATGGCATGGGTGGAAGAGCATGGTAGAGAAAAACTGCTTAGTTCATGATGGCCTAGAAACAGAGCAGCGAAACAGCTGTGGAGAAGGGAAAAGGGACTAGATTCGGTATCCAAGATCCTGTCTTGATGATCCAGCCAGACACACTCAGAAGTGTGCTTTACAAATCACCTGTTACTCCCAAGCCAATCAAGTTGACACAATGAAGCTTAAACAGCACAAGCACCAACTCAGCCTTCCTCTAGGGTGTTTGGGACAACTGGTCTCATCCTTCCTCCAAGGTGGAGTGGACATTGACGGTGCTGGCTGGGGATTACCTGGGACTTTGGGGTTAAAGAAGGGTGTTTGGGTTTTGGGGGAGTCTTTGAAATTTCCTTTCCTCACAGCCATTTGTTCATTGGAATTGGAAGAGGCCAGTGGTATTTGACTTTGGAAAAGGCTTGGGTGTTATGAAATCTCAGCCCTGTGGGTCTAGAATCTTAAAGATTAGCTTCTTGTCATTGACCAAGGCCACAAAAAATGACCCAAGAAATTTATCAACATAAATAATTAAATAATTTGCACGACAAGTATTGTGGTCAAACTAGCCAGCATCCACGTTTACTTGTAGGAATGCATTCAACACCAAAAGGCCACAGTAGGTTTGGGGGCACTGGAGCCCATAGAATGAAGGCAACCGGAGTCAACTACAACTTCCCACCAGAGATAAGACATGCATCTCCAGATATTCACAAGTTCCTTTTGCTGAATGCTGGAAACCTCCTTTTATGCCAGAAAGCCTCTGTCTTTCAGGCGGAGAGTTTATGGAGGGCACACCTTTCTCTGTTCTTCTGCAGCTTTTTCTTGTTTCCATTTCTAGAAATGATATCTTTTGCTGTCACAGTGAGGACACAATGCCAATAAGAAAACAAACCAGAAGGACTCAAGAGGAAGCTGTGGGGCCCCAGGGATTTAGCTCTGTGATTTGGTGGCCTGCCTTACATACCGCAAGGACAACACCGAGAAAAAAAAAAAAAAAAAAAAAAAAAAAAAAAAAAAAAAGAGGAAGCTGTGGGAAGCTCTGTAGGGAGTCTCATTCACATCTGACCAGCTGATGATAGATTCAGTGTGTAATCATGCATACTGTGATGTTTCTACTTTGTGTGCATCTGCTTTTTATAGTTTGCCTGAATTTTTGGCTCAGGATAAGAGCGTTCCCACCTAAACTCCTTGACTGAAACTTGGGCTCCTTTGTTTTGTTTTGTTTTTCTCCCCACATTTACAAACACTTTATTTCCATTTTTCATATTTTTTTCTTTCCCCTTCTTGCCTTTCCCCCACCCTTCCCACTTTCCCTGCACCTTTATCCCTTTTCTTCCTATTTCACATTGTTAATTATCCCATTAGGATCTTGTGTACTATTATAGTTTTTCACACCAGAGAAACTATTCCATATTAACACATGCATGACTTATCTATTTACAAACACTTTATTTCCATTTTTCATATTTTTTTCTTTCCCCTTCTTGCCTTTCCCCCACCCTTCCCACTTTCCCTGCACCTTTATCCCTTTTCTTCCTATTTCACATTGTTAATTATCCCATTAGGATCTTGTGTACTATTATAGTTTTTCACACCAGAGAAACTATTCCATATTAACACATGCATGACTTATCTATTTCACTTAAGAGTATATCCTTAATATGTATCCATTTTCCTATGAATGACTCTAATTTCTCATTCTTTATGGCTGAGTAGTATTCCATTTTATAGAAAAACCACATCTTCTTTATCCAGTTTCCAACTGATGAGAAAATGGGCTTTTTCCAAGTTTTAGCTATTACAAACTGTGCTGCTATAAACATAGATGCGCATATGTCACTGTGATATGATTATTTTAATTCTTTTGGAAAGATAACCAGCAGAGCTATGGCTGGGTCAAATGGAACCTCTAGTCCCAGCTCTTTGAGGTATCTCCATATTGATTTCCACAGTGGCTGCACAGTCTGCACTCCCACCAACAATGGGGAAGGATTCCTTTCTCCCCACAACCCTGCCAACATTTGTCATTGTATGATTTCTTGATAGCAGCCATTCTTTGTGGGGTAAGGTGGAATCTCAGTGTTGTTTTCATCTGCATCTCTCAAAGGACCAGTGATGTGGAACATTTTTTCATATATTTATTTGATGCTTTTCTTCTTTGTCTGAGAAATGTCTGTTCATTTCAGATGCCCATTTTGGAAATGGGTCTTTATATTTGAGGGGACTGGTTGTTTTGAGTTCTTTATATATTCTAGAGAATAGTCCTTTGTCTGAGGAGCAGCTGGTAAAAATTTTTTCCCACATTGGAGGTTGTTTCTTAGTTCTGTTGATGGTTTCTTTTGCAGTGCAGAAGCTTTTTAACAAGACAAGATTCCAGTTGTTGATTTTTTCTGCTAGTTCCCGTGCTACTGAGGATTTGTTCATAAAGTCTCTTCCTATGCCATTGTCTTCCAGAGTTCTGCCTAACTTATCTTCCAGCAAGTTTAGTGTTTATGTTTTAATATTTAGATCTTTAATCCACTTGGATTTTAATTTAGTGCATAGTGATTGATAAGGGTCTAGTTTTAATCTTTGGCAGGTTGAGATCCAGTTTTTCCAACACCATTTATTAAAGGGGCTATCTTTCTTCCAGTGGGGATGGTCAGCTCCTTTGTCAAAGATAATGTAGCTGAGTACATCTGGAGTTGTTTTTGTGTTTTCCAGTCTGTTCCACTGATCCTCAGGTCTGTTTCTTTGCCAGTACCATGCTGTTTTTATCACAGTGGCTTTGTAGTATAGTTTCAGGTTGGGAATTGTTATACCCGCTGCCATGTCTCTGTTGCCTAGGATGGCTTTTGTTATTTTAGGTCTCTTATACTTCCAAATGAATTTTTGGAATTCTTCTTTCTAGTTCTGTGAAGTATAGTGCTGGAATTTCAATTGGCATTGCATTGAATCTATATAGCAGTTTTGGTAGTATGGCCATTTTCACTATGTTTATTCTTCCTACCCAGGAGCAGGGGATATCTTTCAATTTTCTTATATACTCTTCAATCTCTTTTTTCAGAGTGCTGTAGTTTTCAGTGTAGAGGTCTTTTGCTTCTTTTGTTAGATTGGTTCCTAGATACTTCATTTTTGGGGGTGCTATTGTGAAAGGAATTGTTTCCCTAATTTCTCGCTCAGGGAGTCTGTTATTTGTGTACAAGAAGGCTATTGATTTTTGGGTGTTGACCTTGTATCCTGCTGCTCTGCTAAAAGTGTCGATTAAGTCAAGAAGTCTTTTGGTGGAGTTTTTTGGGTCTTCAATGTAGAGTATCATATCCTTAGCAAATAATGACAGTTTAACTTCTTCCTTTCCTATCTTTATTGCTTTAATTTCTTTCTCTTTTTTAATTGCTGTGGCTAATGTTTCCAGAACTATATCGAAGAGGAGTGTTGATAGTGGACATCCTTGTCTTGTTCCTGATTTTAACATGAAGGTTTTCAGATTTTGGCCATTTAATATGATGTTGGCTGTTGGTTTTTCATAGATAGCCTTTATTAAGTTGAGATATAGACCATCTATTCCAATGTGCTCCTTTGTTTAAATGAAACACACATCTTTCCCAAGTCTTATCAAAGGAGCCAGTTCAGGAAGCCATTGGGTTTAAATGGCTGTCAGAAGCACAGTGTAGCAATCATGTCATCTATGATACATTCCTTAAGCTTAGGACTGACCATCTGGTGTATTAGGCTTTCCTTCCTATGGAAATGGCCCACAGCCTGGTACTCTGTTCCCTGCTTCTAGTCTGCATGGGTCTTTGTGCAAATCTGGAAAAGAAGCCCCTTCCAACAGGTGCATGGAACCCAATGGCCTCATGACCCTAGGGTGCATGGCTTGGCAAGACAGTAGGAAGGCAAAGGAAGACTCAAGTTTGGGCCTTTCTCACTCTGAACAAACCCTTTCTGATGCAGATACAGCAGTCAACAAGAACATAAGCTGCAGGGCTTCCAAGGTCTTCCAAAAGGTGGATCGTGTCAGGTTAGTATAATCATAGGAGACAGATCAGTCTGAGAGGGAGGGTTAGAAGAGTGGTGAGCAGGACCCCAACAATACAGTACTGTGATTAATTTCATCTGTTGTCAGCTGCCTGTTGTTTTCCCACCTGAACTATATATCCTTATTATTGACTATCTGGTATCTTTCAAAGGAATACAGTTTGGGACTTTTGTTTGTGAGTAACAGAAATAGCCTTTAGCTACTTTAATTAAAAGGGGCATTTCTTATAAGGAGAGAGAAGTGCTTAAATACACAGATAGGGATCTTGCCATCTCAGAAATAATCAGGAGTATTATTAGGACTTTATATCCTTTTCTTTAAAAAAATCTTTTCTGGTCTGCTACTTTCTTATGCGTGTTTGCTTTCTTCTCTCTGAATTTCCCTTTGATACTTTTCTTTTTCTTCTATTCTTCCTCTTCCTCATTCTTTTTCCTCTCTCTCTCTCTCTCCCTCTCTCTC